AATCAAAACCACCACCACCATCACCAAATAGAGGAGCTTTATTTGATAAGGAATATAGATTTGCACAATTTTTGTAAGTATGGAAGAAATATTTAATTGATTAATTACGTATTTTAAAGCCATGGACATCAATATTATGTACCCCTAGATTATTATAATCGCTATGTTGATTTAACGTAAATCAATCAATTACATATTTATATATTTATATACATTGTTGAGGTTTTTATTTGTTAATCTAAATGATTGGTTGCTCTTGTTTATTATTAATATTAATACAGATGGGCGTCTAAATTGTTTTAGGATATGTCTTAAAAGTCATAAATATTTAGTATCAGACAAAATGACAAAATATCAAAAATGTCCAAATATTGAAAAAATGATCGATTGCGATGGATGATACACAATTTTGTTTACCCAAAATTTTGTATATATCTCAAAAATGTTGTGAAATTGATAAAGAAAATTATTGAAATATTATGTTTGCTGTCTTGCTTTACTATCTCGTAGGATCTTGGGAAATATTGACCTTGTCAAATCAAGTAAAGTCTGACCCAAATATTTAAATTAATATTTCATTTCCCATTTGGAAATATTGCATAATAAACATATGAAAGCATTTTGGATGGTTCTGACCTTTAAAAGGCGACAATTATTTGGTTATTATCTGCTATGCATCGTTTAATTAAAAATACCAAGAAGACAAATCAATACAACTATAACAAAAATATCCACGTTGTTTTGAATCACTTGGTGATAAAGGTTCATCATTCTCCGGTTCAAACACTCTATCTAAAGAAATAGCAAAATCTGACTTTGGTAAATAAACGCCGAATATTAATTTTCGTTGTGTTATTTTTATAATTTGCTCAGCAGCTTAGAATAAATTATAATAACTAAACATTTCTGTTTTGACGCAATCTCCTTTACTGGTAATATAAAAATCTTTGTCATGCCTATTCCCATTTTTAAAGTTACTCGAGAATCAGTTTCTTTGAATAATTTCAAGAAAATCTTTTATTTGTTTCATCGATGTCTTTTTTATAAGGTTTATAATATCAACTGCTATTATTATTATATCGTGAGATGCTGGTGATTCAGTCCCACCAGCCTCCTTATCTTCGATTGTTTAAACAATGGCGTATTCAACTTCCTTATATTATACGATTCACTATATATACATATGCGCTGATTTTATTTGAACACCGAAATTCAGTACGGTATGATCATAACGTTATTATTATGAATACTTTATACTAGCAAAAACCCATTGGTTTTGAGGTTAGGGCCATTGGTTTGACAGGCTGTTGAATAATAAAATAGTTTTTTTAGCGGAGCAAATAAAATTTATTAGAATTCTTAATTATCATTCTACTGACCAGTTTACACATTAAAAATACTCGTGTTTAACATCGAGACACAGTAAGATTTAAGATTTGAAAAAATGCTCAAAAAA